TTTAGAAGGATGGTATTATTAATTGCGATAGAGCACCAGGTTAGTGTGGAAAATTAGGAATTTCATTCTGAACATGTTAGGTTTGCAATGCTTTTGAGAAATATAAGGGAAAGTGTTGAGCAAGCAGTTAGCTGTCCACAGTCACTCAGAGAAGAGGTATGGAGTAGATACAAGTGGAGTCAAGAGCACACACGTGGTCATTGAGGCCCTGGGCATGGATAACCCGTGGAGGGGCAGAATACAGAATGAGAAGAGGGGAGGAACTTTGAGGCTTTAGGACCATCAACAATTAATGGCTGGTATAGGATGATGAAGTGGCAAAGGAGTCTGATAAAGAATGGCTAGAGGAAGGAAACCCAGGAGTATGTCTGGGGTGGGGGAGGGGCAAGGGGGTTTCTCAAAAGATAAGGAGAGAGATTTCCTAAAGGCATGAATAGCCAGTGATATCTTTTGAAAGGTCAAGTAATCATAGGGACTGAAATGTCAACAAGAATTTATCAGCAAGGTCATCTGTGACCTTGAGGAGAGCTGTTTCTATGAATTAATGGTGGTGGGAACCAGAAAATAAAGATGGCAAGTATCATCAACTTTTCTGAAAACTTTGGTTGCAGTGGAGAGATAAGGTGCCAGTCGAATGGATTTGTGTGATTAGGCTATGAACTGTTTTTTTTGTTCTGTTTTTGTTTTTTTTAAGTAGGCTCCATGCCCAGCAGGGAGCCCAAGGCAGGGCTTGAACTTAGGACCATGAGATCAAGAGTCAGATGCTTAACCAAATGAGCCACCCAAGTGCCCCTAGCCTATTCATTTTTTTTTTTTTTTTTTTTGAGAGAGAGAGAGAGAGAGACCAATTGCACATGGCGGGTGGGGGAAGAGGGAGAGGGAAAGAGAGAATCTTAAGCAGGCTCCACACTCAGTGCAGAGCCTATGCGAGGCTCGATCTCAAAACTCTGAGATCATGACCCCAGCCAAAATTAAGAGTCCGACACTTAACCGACTGAGCCACCCAGGCCCCCCTGGGCTATTAATTTTTAAGAAGCTTATTTTTTAAGATGAAAGGGGTTTGAACATGGAAAGGAGGGGAAACCAGTGAAGCCGGGATTTGATCACAGAGGTAGGAGGAGAGACAGATGACAGTAACAGGGAACAGCAATTATAAAAGTTAAATCTTGATTCAGTCTTAATTAAAATGAAAAGAAATAGGTTCTGGGGCATTTGATAAGAAGATTTCAAAAGAAATAACCTTGTTGACATAGGTTGGTCATTCAAAATACTATCCTGGTTGTTTCCCATATCAGCAAGAAAAGGAAGAGAAGGTCGGAGAATATTTCCATTCCAATGACCAAGGAACTGCCTTAGCAACCATCTAGAAAAGGTTTTTTTAAGTTTCAAACTTTACACGCTATGTCTTGTTACCATAAATCACAGCTTCTCTCTTTAATCTTGTTTTATTAAAAAAAAAAAAAAGGCAAGAGGCTTTCAAAGACATTTAACTCTTAACTCCAAAATTCTGTTTGATCACCCAGATCTTAACCTCTCGTCATAAGACTAATGTATATCATACATAAAAGGATACCTGTTTTAAGAAATTGCTTTTTTTCTTTAGGCTATACAATACGGTTATTTTAGAAAATTAATTTTCTCATTTAATCTCTAGTTGAACTCACCAGCCTTATGTTAATTGTACACAGAATTACATGTAGGTATAGTTATAGGTATAGATACAGAAAGAGTAAAGACGTAAACACAGTCCTATATAGTCATAGGTATAGGTATACATTTACGTATAAATATAAAGCTATGATAGCATATGGGTTCCTCTGCTGGTAAAAGAGCTTGAGACCCTTTGTAAGGCCACTTACATCATGCCTGTAATAGATTTTATTTATTAATTTTTTATTTTTTATTTTTTTTAAGATTTTTTTTATTTATTTGAGAGAGAGAGAGAATGAGATAGAGAGAGCATGAGAGGGGTGAGGGTCAGAGGGAGAAGCAGACCCCCTACTGAGCAGGGAGCCTGATGCGGGACTCAATCCCGGGAGTCCAGAATCATGACCCAAGCTGAAGGCAGTTGCTTAACCAACTGACCCACCCAGGCGCCCTGCCTGTAATAGATTTTAATCTAAACAGGATGTCAACACAAGTTTTCAATCCAAACACAACTAAGTTTGATTTTTCCATATTTTATAAGAAAGGAACAACTGAGGGATGGTGTGATGCATGGTGTCAAAGGCCATGGAGGGGTCAAGGGGGAGGAAAGTTGAAGAAAAGGATCCACTCCGACAATGGCTGGGAAGTCTGGTGGTCTTTTCAAATGTGTTGCACAGACAGGGGTGTGTGAGAGAAAATGAAATCTCTGGAAAAGATCAGGTGATGGGAGAAATGAAGGTTCACAGAATGAAGAACAGGAAGGAGAGCAAGAGTGTCATTATTAAGGGGAAATTCTCTTGCAGGAGCATGGGAAAAGAGAGAAGATGACCAACGTATAAGTGAGGGATGGGGGAAATACTCTTAGCATTGAGGTATTAGTCCCCCATTTTTATATTTTTTGACCTATTTTCATTTTCTTTGTGTTCTTCTGGGAACAAAGATCTCTTTTTGAAGCCTTTGCTTCCTCTTATCATTTAATAATTGCTCTTTTTCAGTCCTAGGAATGCACTGGCATTAAAGGTAAGAAACAGAAGCTGTACTCTGAGCTCTTCCAAAGAAAAGCACTTTAGAAATCAAAGGCATTGCTATATTGTTATTATTCCCTCCTTTCCCTGAAAGCTTGGCATGACATTAGCTCTGATACTCAAAGAGGAGTCTTTCAGTTTAGCCATTATATTAATAATCTGTGCCTCTAAAAAAGGAAAGGATATCTAAACTGATCAACCTAGTCCAATAATCGTCTCTTTCCTTTAGTTCTGGTGCTATGGATCTGATCCAGGAACCAGAAATAGGAGCACTGTGACTCATTTCATCTTCCATGTAAATTACATCCAACAATGCATAAATTGTAAGGGCATATAGCCAAGCTCTACCAATTCTGCGCAGAGATGCACAAGCTCAATGGGCATTGAAAGCATGAGATATTAACTCATGAATAATCCTTCTGTATTCTTACACAGTTATATAACCAGTTGTTTATTGTAATGATAATTTACATCAATATTGGAATAATAAATAGAAGATGAACATAAGATTTTAGAAATAAGTAATAAATATTCCTAAGTACAAGTTATTATCTATCAAGACAAATTGGGTGGATCTTAAAATCCACAGGAAACAATAGTAACTAGCAAAACTCCTAGATAATATTTTCCCCAATAGGTAGCTCCATGAAAGGTGTCACTCATAGAGACATATCTAAATACTGCCTGAGGGGAAAGAAGGTTTTAAACTAGAAACATAATCCATACTTGGCAGTTCATATAATTGGAAGTCATCTATAGATGAGGAGGTTTAAAAAGAAAATTTTTTAACAGAAGGTGGGTGTAATTCCAAGTTGTAATTGTTCAATGTGTTTAATAACTATACATATATAAATAATATATAATATATACATATATAGAGAGAGAGAGATGCAACATGTGTGAAAAAAGCAACTTGAGCTCTTTGTGTCTATTAATCAACTGAATTTATTTACATCCTTATAAGCCAACCTAAATTATAATAAAGGACATTTATTTTCAAATATTTCCATTATTTGGAAATAAAAGAGACATTAAAAGCCTACACAACAGATGACAATTTTAGGAAATAAAACAATCTAATGCTAAACAAGCACATTGTTTAATAACTCTTTTTTCCAATGGTTAAATTGGGAAAATAAGTCCCATTGGAACATGGAAATATTTGGTGAAGATATTCTGAGGATTGAAAACAACAACAGTTTTGGATACCTTAAAGCAAAACCAAATCAGAGACTTATTTTTCTTTGTGTGTTAGAGATGGCATAGATTATAGGAGTTCTGCACATATGTCTGCTTCTTTGAAGGTCAGAGTGTAGGCTCCATGTTTTGTTCACTGATACATCCCAAGATATTAGAACAATATCTGGCACACAATAATCACATATTAAGTTAAATGGTTGTTGACATTCCCAGCATGGATTTGGTAGAACAAGGTGCCCTGCACATGGTCTATAATTTTAGTTATAATTATTGATCTCAACAACAAAAATATAAAAGTAGAAAACACCCACTTATCCCTTAAAGTTTACAAAGAACTTGCAACTCATATTCCCATCCAGTCATCTGGGTTCATCACCGCCTGGAAGCGGTGGTTTACCAGGAGCCCACAGTGGAGCCCTGCCTGTTGCTTCATTCCATTCTCTCCTCTGCCACTTGTGGGTTGAACTGTGTGCCCCCAAAACTCAGATGCTGAAGCTCTTACCCACAGGGCCTCAGATGTGACCTTACTTGGAAAGAGGGTCATTACAGATGTAATTAGATATGTTAGGATGAGGTCATACAGGATGGAGTCGGATGGGCCGCATATCCAATATGACTGGTGTCCCCTTAAGAAGGGCAAATGTGGACACAGACATGCACTCAGGGAGGACATCACATCAAGATAAAGGGAGAGATCTGGATGATGCTTATACAGACTTGGAAATGCCAAATGGTGCCTGGAAACCACCAGAAACCAGGAGAGAATGTGGAACAGAGTCTCCCTCCCAACCCAAAGAGAGAACCAACCCTGCTGACACCTTGATCTTGGACTTCTAACCTTTGAAACTGTGAGAAGCATTTTTGTTAAACCACCCAGTTTATGGGACTTTTTGTTACAGCAGCCTTTAGCAAACTAACACAACTACCTACTCCTCGCACCTTGTCAGATTTCCTTCCGGAGGCACTGGTAGCCTGACCTCACTCCCACTGAGCACTGTCTGATTAGCTCTCAGAATTCACAAGATCTCCTCCAATTTATTCCAAAGCTCCCGCAATGATACATTGTCAATATCCAATGCATTCTTCCATTACGTTACATAGCAATTACATCTGATACATTTCCCTTACCTTCTGCTTGCTCCCTTGCTTGGGGTGGTGCTGTAACCTGGAGGAGGTGGTGGAAACCAGGACTGTCTGTTAAGAAACAACATCAGTTATAAACATGGCGCTTGAAAGACCTGATCCCACCCACATGTCTACCAGGAAAAGCTGAAAATAATTTGACAGCTAAACGGCACTGAGATGACTTTTCTACAAGCCTTGGAAATAAAATTAAGACTATTTCATAAACTCAATAGGAAATAACTAAAATAACTATACTACAGTCTAGGCTCTCTGCTCCCCAAGTAAGCTCCTTTCCCCGTTTTCTTGACACTAAAATGTGGACATTTCATTAAAAAGAAATGTGAAGAGAATCTGGAAAATAATATTTGTTAAATCTAGCTCGTGGGTTGATGGGTGTTTATCATCAACATACCTCTTTTTCTATTTTCTGCATACCTGAAATATTTTATAATCAAAACCAATCGTATGCTCTATTCTATATTTAGAGTTTTTTAAAAGCTCCATGATAATGGGGTGCCTGGGTGGCTCAGTTGTTAAGTGTCTGCCTTCGGCTCAGATCATGATCCCAGGGTCTTGGGATCAAGCCCCCCGTCGGGCTCCCTGCTCCGCGGGAAGCCTGCTTCTCCCTCTCCCACTCCCCCTGCTTGTGTTCCCTCTCTCGCTGTCTCTCTTTCTGTCAAATAAATAAATATTTTTTTTTAAAAAAGCTCCATGATAAAAAGAAAACTCTGAAAGTAAGAGTATTGAAAACATAAGTGAACACCCCACTAATGCTAACCTCAATTATGTAAACATATATATGTATTAATGCATATATACAAACACATATATATCCAATTAGAAAGATGTCTTCACATTACCAGGACTTAATTTTAATTGATAGAGATAGCTTAGGGGCTATGTCAGAAAGACTTAGATATGGACCAAAAATGAAGATGTTTAGAGGAGAGTGACATGTCAGAGGAAAGTCCAGGGAAGAAAAGGCTAGGATAAAGAAGCCAGGATAGCTGGCTTTAAATTCTTGAAGCAGGTCTATTCTCTGAGGCACCACAGGACTGAACTAAGAAGAGATGGGCATAAATTTCAACTCAATGTAAGTAGTCGATTCTACTCACAAGAGCTAGTACAATGTATATCACAAAAGTAGAGTCTTATTGCTGGCTTCAATGATCCTGAATTATGCTTAGCCTGTCAGAGGAAAGATTCTTGCTGTGGGGAGGAGATGTGAAATTTGGGTCCAAGAGAAAGGTGATCACATTTTCTGAGACTCCGCAGACACAACCAGAATTCCAACTGCAGGAGCGTTTTGGCAATCAGCCAGTCCATCAACAAACATTGAGCACCTACCCAAACTAGGCATGGTCTTAGGTGCAGGCAAAGAAAATAAAAACATTTTAAAAAGCACTGAGATTCATGAATGCTTGTTTTCCATTTGATCATGATTCACTAGCACTGTGTTCTCTCCAACAAGCAAAAATTGCTTCGCCCATCTACATTCTGTCTCATGAAGAATATTCTGCCACCACAGGTCTAGCTACTTCTCCATGCCTACTAGATAAATAGAAGTGTCAAGATGGGGACTTTGACTCTGTACTTGGAAGTAGGGTCAACCCAATCAACAGAGCAGAGAAGGCTGCAAAGATGCAGGCAGATTTCAGCAGCATGGCAACATTTGGCCACCCCACAGTCGTAATTATTTCAGGGTTAGGCATTCCCTGTAGTAGGACTCTACTAAAGGTGTTACCTGAAGTAGCTTATTCTTTGCTGAGCTCTGTCATCGAAAACATTACTTAGATATTCTAGACCCCAAGGGACCTAAAGAAAAGACTGCATATTTGTTTGTTTGTTTTATTAAGATTTTATTTATTTATTTATTTATTTATTTATTTATTTATTTATTTATTTGAGTGTGAGCAGGGAGAGGAGCAGAGGCAGAGGGAGAGAGAATCCACAAGCAGACTCTACACTGAGCAAGCACAGAGCCCCTCTTGGGGCTGGATCTCACAACCCTGAGATCATGACCTGAGCCGAAATTAAGAGTCAGATGCTTAACTGACTGAGCCACCCAGGCACCCCAAGACTGCACTTTTGAAATGGAAATGAGGAGGCAAAGGAACAAAGTTTGAAGACAACAGAATCCAGTGGCTCTGGATCCCTGGAAAGGGAGGAGGGAACAAGATGAGAGACCAATTTCTGAATGCCACCGGGGGTCTTGGTGGATGGTTTGGTTCAGAAATTAATAAAGGACAGTCCTCTACAGAATGCTATCACGAAACAGATGCAACCAGCCCATCATACCTCTTTTTCTTTACAGGAGTTGTAGCAGAGGTGGGAGCCAGGGTGCTGGTGGTATTGGCATTGAACGAAACTCCAGGCTGCCTGTTTAATCACAGCCAAAAATAACATTCTTGAAATTTTTTATGCTGTCCCACCTTTGAAAGGTCTTATCATCTACTCATATTCCCACCTGCTCTTCACCCACCACAACATATTTCAATAGACAAAAGAAGAAGAGAAAACAAGTCCTTCCTTAGTTTACCACTTTATAAATCGTCAGGTCTTCATCTAAGTAACTAGAACTGAAGGAAGTGAATGAAATCATTCATTATATGACATTGTGTGTCTGAAATCCAGACCAATAAATTCTGATGTACTCTGGATTCATATTATATATTTAATCCTGTGTATATTATGACTAACAGAATTATATTGCAATTTTTTTGCATTAAAAGCATTAGATTGTTTAAGAAAACATTTAAAAAATCACACCATTTAAAATCTCTATTTAGCATTTATTAATATACATAGACCTCCAAAGGGAAAAAAAAAGGACGTAACCAAGCCTGTTTCAATGACTGAGAGGTGTGGTCCAAGGTGAAAATTACTTTATTTGTAAATACAAATTTAAAAACCAATTCTGTTTTCAAAAATCCACCTAGTTTGGCTGTTTATAATCACCAGTAGTACATTTCAGAAAAATGTACTTCATCTGAATTGATTGCTAGCAAACCTATGATTTCATGACTCAGTTGAATTGTAATGTGATGGGGGTTTTGAAAGACAAGTGATACAGGGGAAGAAAGTTAGTGGCCATAAGAACAGGGAAAAATAAAGGTCTCTGGGGGAAAAAAATTAAAAATCAAATGGGTGATGGGCATTAAGGAAAGTACTTGTTATGATGAGCCTGAGTGCTGTATGTAAGTGATGAATCACTAAATTCTACTCCTGAAACCAATATTATACTATATCTTAACTAACTGGAAATTAAATAAAAATTTGGAGAAAGAAAAAATAAAAAGAAAAAGTAAGACAAAAAATAAAAAGAAAGAAAGAAAAGAAGAAAAGAATGACTTAAGTTCAGGTGTTTGGTTAGAGCAGAGGTTGATAAACTTTTTCTGTTAAAATCCAGATGGTAAATATTTAAAGCTTCATGGACCATTTTCTTATTTCTACTAAACTCTGCCTAAGCAACAGGAGTGTGGTTTTATTATAATGAAACTTTGGCCTGAGGGGCATATACCCTGATTTTTCTTGAATGCAAACAAAGAAATACACTTTATTCTTAAAATGTAACTTCAGTCAGAAAAATACATACATCTTTGTTACTTCTGGTGATCTAAACGTGGACATGTTTCTGGTAAAAAGAAAAAAAGGTAAAAGTTTGAGCAGCAACAAAGAATGAATAGTTACATCGATATGCAATTGTCCATGAATTTAGAGTTGTTATTTAAAGTTAGACATTATTTGAGAGAAAGAGAAAGAAAGCATCAGTATTTGAATAAATTTGATAGGGTGATTTCATGATTTTTTTGTCTTGTGCTAGATTCTAAAGGAAATCATTTTATTTCAGAAAATTCAGTTATCGTTTAAGTTCAACGTTTTTATTTGTTGAGTTCAGTAATTTTCTTTAGCAATAAGAATGTAAAACTGGGATTTACATGTATTTCATACTCTTGCCACCAGGATAACTTAAAACAAAAACATGAATGTGGTGAGAATGATGACCTGAAGCAATGAACTCTCCCAATTTTTAAGCAAGGCAACAGGGATGCCTGGGTGGCTCAGTTGGTTAAGCATCTGCCTTGGGTTAGATCGTGATCCCAGGGTCCTGGGATTGAGTCCCGCGTTGCATTGGGCTACTTGCTCGGCGGGGAGCCTGCTTCTCTCTCTACATGCCCCTCCCCCTGCTTGTGCCCTCTCTCTCTCTGACAAATAAATAAAATCTTTTTAAAAAATTAAGCAAGGCAACAAATATTTTCTAGTTCTCTAACCATGAGGAGGAATAAAGGTATATACTCTAGCATTTTTGTGTTTAAAAAATGGAGGGAAAGAATTTACAGATAGATATCAAGTAGGACAGAAGAATTGTAAGTAAATAAGTTATGCTTAGAAAAATATTGTACTTGGGTCTTTCCCAAAGTCAATAGATACTGGTACCTATTGGTCAGTCGGTTATCCAAGGTATTGGCCTTATGTGTTTTAGCAGCATCATTTCTGTCTGAGATCCTTTATGAAGAAATAAGACACAAGTTTGGATGAACATTTAGATCATTAAAGTCCTTTCAGACCTCTTTCATGAAAGAATAACTCCACAATATAACCTTTTGCTGGTAAAGAGATTTGTTTTCAGGTGTTACATTTTAGATATTTTGCAATTAAAAAAAAACCTACTTAAGACAAAATCTATTTATGAGGCTATTCTGACACAGTTTGGAATTTTTAAGATTTATGCCTTTCTACTAGATGCTCTGATTCATTGAGCATTTAACCCACTATTTTATATTCATTATTGTTAATAACACAGTTGACCCTTGAACCACATGGATTTGAACTGCACAGGTTCACTTACATGCAGATTTTTTCGATAAATACAGTATGGTACTGTAAATGTATGTTCTCTTCTTTATGATTTTCTTAATAACCATTTTCTTTTTCCTAGCTCACTTTATTGTAAGAATTCAGTTATGTATAACATACAAAATATGTGTTAATCAACTGTTTATGTTATGGGAAGGCTTCCAATCAATTGTGGGTTATAGTAGTTAAGTATTGGGGAGTCAAAAGTTATATGTGAATTTTCGATTGCACAGCACCCATAAACCCTGTATTGTCAACTGTACATGCAGTCAATGACAGTGTGCTTGCCAAGTCCGTAAAAGGCATCAATGAAAGACAAGTATTTTTTAGATATTTTGTGGCATAGACAATGCTGTATGTTTGCCAAACTAATTTTCTTTTCCTTCTGAGCACACAGGAAGACCACATTTCCCATTCTTCACTGCAATTAAGTTGGGACCATGTGATTGAATTCTAGACTAAAGAATGTGGGCAGAAATGTTTGCTACTTTCAGACCCATCATAAAACCTCTTGTGTGATCCTCCTTGCTCTTTCTTCCTCTTCCCACTATGGTTTTGTTGTTCATGGGTTGAAGATGGTCGCATCAAAACATGAACTTAGGTCCCTGAGTCACTTCATGGAGCTGAGACATCCCCTATTTTCCAGCCCATCACACTGGACCCTGAAGAGAGTGAACAGTAATCTTTTATTGTGCTAAACTATAATAGATTTGGGGGCAAGAGAGGGAACTTGTTAAAAGAGTTCTCTCCCCTGGTGAATTAGTTTACTTTGACTAACACATTTGGTTAATAGCCTCTACTGGCCATCAGAGGTTTTAATCCCTCAAATATCAGGTCTCCTCAAGGAGGTCACATCTGGAAAAGGTGTATTTGTCCCCTGTGTCAGAAAAGACAAATCCTGTGGTCTCCATGCCAATGGTGGGTTCTCATGACTGCAGACCCTCCTTCCCTACCTTCCCTCACATCAGAGAGGAAGGTTCTTCCTAAGACATGGGATTATCCCCTAGAGCATTCTGCAGGCTTGCACAACATGAGGATGTAGCAAAATTAGGCTCAGGAAAACAAAAGGTCAGCAAAACCTTTCTGTTGATCCAACACTATGGGTCTACTACAACTTTCTCTAAACTTTTAATTTTACCATCAGCTTTAGTACATGGCTTTATATAAACTATTCCTGCAAAGATGGGCACTAACTTTTCCTCACTCTAAAAAAAAAATTAATGTGGGGAAAACATACGACTTAACTGTCATAAGTTTAAAATGATTTCAATTCCTAATGTCATCTTGATATGTGTAACTAAAACATTGGGTAAATAACTCTAATACATTAAAAGGCTATAAGTCAACTCCAAACATGTTTTTGTTTATAGCACATAATGCCACAAACTGATAACACTTGAATGGAAAAAGGAAGGAAGACTGAAATCTTCCAGAACTCCATATTCTCAACAAACCATTCACAATCCAGGCATTAACTTGTACAGGCTTCTAGAAGCCATGTATAAAAAAACTCATGTCTAAGGTGATGATCAGGCCAAGGACCGTGACTATATCACCAGCGCTAACTGCTACTGAGCCTCTGAAATGTTTATATTTAAAGGGCTCTGCAGTAAACCACTGTGAGTACCTTAAGTAAGAGGTCAGGTAACCCTAAATCTTTAATCTTAAATGTTCCTTGGAAACTCTCCTCAGACTTTATAGCTGTCACGAGACCCTAACATGAGATAAAAATAATCTTGGGAAATTGTTACTCTGGTTTGCTGAAAACAACGATCTGTCTAAAGCAAACAGAACCTTAATACCAAACATTCTCGAAGTTCACATTAAGGCAAGTTCTGATGTTAAAATTAAATGAAGTTAATAAAAACTCTACAGTGTAAGCCTATGTGGACAATACTGCATGTAATAATAAAAATAGCTACCTACTCTTTGCTGCTTATTATATACATTTTCCTCTACACTTTAAAATATCCTTACAAGGGAGGCGTAATTATTTCCATTTTATAAATGAAAAAGTGGAGTCTCAGAGAAGGTGAATGGAGTCTTGAGAAGACTTTCTCTTGGCCAACCAGCTAAGAAGTAGGGTATCTCCAAAGTCTTCCCAGTAGGGCCCAACGTCAGACATCTGATTCTGTAGTGTGATTGTTTCAACACTCATATATTAGGTCAACAGGTCTTCCTGCACTTACTAGTTTTCACCTTCACTATCTCTTCTGTGCTACTAGGGGCATCAGTCTATGAGTAATAATGGAGGGAACTCTAACCTACCATTCCAATACATATGTCAATTTCTTCTTACTTAGGGAGATTAGCTTTGTATTTCTCTTGAAAATCAAGTTTCTGCCAACTTGTGATGTGAAATAGGTTGTTTTGATACGTGTCAGTCTCAGAGACAGGAAATACTCAAATACAGTCATTTAGCAGTATGATCAAAAGAACCAGAGGAAAAGCTACACTTCCACAAGAGAACACTAGAGGGCACCACAATGTAGGTTTTCCAAATTAGTCATTAGACAGCCTTGAGGATTTGGGCCCTACTGAATGCTACATACATTAGTATTTACTTATGTTTCTTTAGAACACCTCACACTTTTACCTACATATATATTTTAAAAAGAACTTCAAATATAAAGTCAGTACTTTTCTTATATTCGTTTAAAAATAAATGCATTATTATGGGGCACCTGGCTGGCTCAGTTGGTGGAGCATGTTGCTCTTGATCTCAGGGTTGTGGGTTCAAGCCCCACGTTGGGTGTAGAGACCACTTAAAAATAAAATCTTTAAAAAAATAAAAATTAAAAATAAAACAATTGCATTATTGAAATACATACATACGTGCATACCAGATATATTTGGTCATCTTCCTCCTAAAATTATGTCCTATCTCACATTTGGAGTGGCCAGCATTATGAAAAGTCTGACTCCTGATAGGACTTGCCTTTCTTTACTGATTCCTGAGTTCTCTCCCTCACATCTATTTCCACACTTAGAGAGATGTGGCATACTGTTGGGACTCAGGACTGCCTCGGGAATGAGCTGACCAAACATGCCACTAAATCTCTGTGTAAATAAAGCAGGTCACCTCTGGCCTCATTTTCTAGGGTATAAAATGAAGAAGGATTTGGGCTAGATTGGTGGTTCTGAACTTTGGCTGCACACTAGAATCACTTCATAAGCTTTAAAAATGTCCGAGTCCCACCTCATACTAATTAAACCAGAATTTTGAGGGTGAGAGGTGGTGGGACCAAGTTATCGGTAAAGTTTAAAAGTTCTCTTAGTGATTCTAATTTGCAGCCGAGGCTGAGAATGACTCATCTTGTTAGCCTGTGAAGTCTGGTCTAGTTCACTGCTAATGTTCCAAGGCTCTGTCTTGACTGGCCCAACATAGACCTTCAGATACACAGCCTACAAAGGCTTAGGTCTCCCACATATTTACCTTTCTTGAGGCATAATTATCTCCCTTTCAGATTCATTCCTAGAAATAGGGTTTCCGTCTTTAATTAACGGTGCAACAGGACAGCCCACAAGGCCAACATGAATAGACTTATTTTGACTCCTCTCTCCACTCAGTGCTGTGGAGATGAGATCCTGTACATATACTTCTACAAACTCATTTTTTTGCGAGGCTATTAATTATAAGAGAGAAATTAGCTCCTTACGCATACCAGTGAGGATTAGCCTCTATTAAGGGAGACTGGCTTGAAAACCTATGAATAGTACATAAGTGTGTACATTTCCTACATGAATTAATACTGGCAAATACTGAATATAGAATCCACTAGATACCATAAATTCCAGCATGTCTACTTAAAATGCAGCAGGTGGCATTTTTGTCTATAATAGCAGCATATCTTTAGCTACAGGGAGTGACCTCAATGGTCAGTGGCCTCAGGTGTCCATTGTCTAGACTCCAACTAAAAATGTTAACTTTGCACTTTATATATGCTTATTAAGTATCTCTACCAAATATAAGATAAAAATGTGATTTGTAGCATTTACATTTCAATCTAAATAGACATTTCTCGGGGTGCCTGGGTGGCTCAGTCAGTTAAGCATCTGACTCTTGATTTCAGCTCAGGTCTTGATCTCACGGTTGTGAGTTCAAGCCCTACACTGGGCTCCATGCTGGGTATGGAGCCTACTTTAAAAAAAATAGACACTTCTCAATTTTCTCCATAAAGATGAGCCCTTTTCCTCTGTGTAGGAAGGAACTAACAACAGGCACAACACCATGGACCCATTCTACAGGCCATATGGTGACTCTAGTACCACCCACAAGAGTAATTTCACTTTCTAAAGTAAAGAGCCTTTATACTACAGTGGATCAAAACTATGTTATTATTAAAACTTATAGTCTCTCTATAAAAATAGAAACTGTCGTTTTTCCACCAGTGGGATGGAAAGCCCAAAAGTTAGAATAAGAACTGACTACTCATTCACAAAAATAACTAGATTCTCCATTTTAAACTGAACAGATTCCATGTAGTGTCCACCCTACTTATACTCAAACCAGTTTCTTCAAAATTGTTCTTATCAATCTACTATTGGCAGGATTTTGGGAAAATAGCATGTTGAGTCAAGATTTTGTGAATTTTGAAGATGATTCAATCTGAATAGCCCTTCTGTCCCTGGGGATAAAATGTCATGGCTCAAAACTTACCTTGGCAAACATTTAAATACCTCATGGTTGATTAAAAAAATGGGATTTCATATACATTTTGCCTCCTGCTTACATGGTTCAAAAACACCTTACCTGTCTAAAGTGTCATCAGATCCGTACCGACTAATCGTAGCTTTTGGCTCATCTCTCTCATTTGCTTTCCTGTAGCAAAAAATAATTACAGAAAGTCAAATAAATTACCAAAAAAAGTTTATAAAATCTATCATGTCTTTGGTAAAATTTTGGCCTATTTAGGTAGGAGTTGTACATGTTACCAAGGAAAGACAGATTCAGAGTATCTAAATCTTCCAAGGTTTTGACTTGGATAGAATAAATTACGGTGAACCCAACTCCCCCCTGCTAATAAAGGAATTCTTCTCTAGGTCCAATTATTTCTAACTACAATGTAACATATTCAAATTGGGGATAAAGGATAGGCAAAACAAACAACATGACATGCAAAGTGGTTACCAATTAATGTGTACTCTTATCAATACTGTTGACTTCTACATCATAGGAACTCAATCCCTTAAAATCAGATATGTTTTGTTTGCAGAACTTTAGTAACACCGTAAACTAGCTCAACAAGCTGAATACAAATAGCTTTATTTAAAGTTCAGCACCGTGGACAGGGTTGAAAAAAAGAACTTGCTGAACTGAAGGGAGAGGGAAGAAAGGAAAAGAAGAAAACAGGAAAAGCTAGAAAGAAAGAAATGAAGAAAAGAGAGTGCGAGAAGAGAGAAAGGAGAGATGTAGGGATGAGAGGAGAAGAAAAAGGAGATAAGGAGAAGTAGGGAGAAGAGAGACAGAAGGCAAAGAAAGTTGAGGAAGATAGGTGAGCAGAACAAAGGGGAGAGGGAAGAAGACAAGAAAAGAAGGGAAGAAAGGATAGGAGTTTCAATAGTAGGAATCAAGATCATCAAAGCAAATGGGAATATCTTGATCAGACTGATCAATCAGCAAAAACAGGCTGTTTAATGCCTTATATAACCCTGTGATACAGGAAAAGCAAGCTCTTTGATGAATTATATCATGATTTACTGTGTTTGCATTTCAAAGCATCATTTGAAGCTGACAGATCAAAGATACTGAATCTGAAAAAGCACTAAAGCAGTATATACACTTACAATTTAATTTTTAACTTGATATAGTGTACTTTTATTAAGCAAATATTTGAAGTTAAACAATGTATAATTTACTGTGCTGATGACTATGAGGAAGTCAAGAATAAAAAACTATGGAATCTACTCACACAGAGCTAGGGAGATAAATTAGATATGTACACCCAAAGGCAGATAGTGGCCACTGTCATAAAAGAGGTTCAGGGAAAGGGAAGGAAGTTCTAAGGTGAGAAAGTTTATTTCTAGGTAAAAGAATCAAAAAGGGCTTCATGGGTAAGGCACAGTTTGAGCTGGGCCTTGGAGGATAAATAGCTGTGAACATTTTCAAATGGAAGCAGAAGGAACAGTGTCCGTTGATGGGAGAAAAAAGTAATGAAAATTGCCTAATGCGATTCCCTCAGTTTTAAAGGAACCTCAGAGTGAAATCATGGTCTAGCCCAGCATTGTGTTGAATGCATGAATGTAAACAGACACTGAAGGGCCATCTGACGCCCTTCTCAGCATCACTTTATGTCTCATTAGTTGGCTTTATTCTTCCTAGCACTTATGGCAACATATCATATTATATTGTGTTTATTTATTTTCAGTCTCTCCCCACCCCTCCACCTTCAACTAGGAGGCAGGTTCTATGGAAGCAGGGACTTTGTTTTATTCCCAGTCCTCAGGCCAGTGTCTGGTTCACAGTAGGCATCTCTGCAAGTATTTGTGCTGCCAGGCTTACTTGACAGGTTTAAATGATCTGGCAGAGAAGTACACAGTGGAGGTTCTTAGTTCATGCCTACTATGAAGCTGTTATCTAGGTGAGGAGACTATATTGTTTACCTTCCCTTTCCTTTAGCTTTTTCAGTCTCTGCTCACATGGAGCTTTTTGCACACATAGCCACTTGTAATGGAAGCACTTCTCTCCTGCTTCATGCCCACCAGCCACCCTTCCTGACTCAGAAACCCCTCCTCATCCTCCTTAGCCAACATGGAAGACACTTTCTGGGTGCCATCTCTGATTAATTCAGGCAGAGTTAGGCTCTCTCGTCTACTCCCAAGGTGCTGTCGCACACTTCTACAATAGCACTTCCATGGTAAATTTTAGTCTTGTAGTCTATGGATCCATGTTTTTCCAGACTGTAAAGGCTCCCTAAGGTCAAGGGCGGTATCATATGCATCTTCGTATTCCCAGCACTTAGCACTATGGCAGCACATAGCAGATGCTCCAAAATGGTGTTAAGTGTCCACCAAAGTGGGTACAGCCTCTGTGAAAGGGCAGAAAATGGCAAAGTAGGCATCCATCTGAGCAAGTGCAAGGAGGAAAATCATCTGCACTACCCTTCTAGGAACAGGTATTTTGAGACGCTAGTTATGGGTTAAGGGGAAAACATCTCGGGCTCACACACTTTTTTTACTGAAGATAAAAGTTCAATGTACTGTTTAGCCAGTATATGGAGGGGAGTTAGCCAGTAAAATGGAGGGAGTAATTTCCATGGGTAGCTGGACTAAAATGATCAGACTCCCTTTGGGGGTGAGAGCCACCTGAGAACCAGGTTGTAATCTTCAAAATCATGACGGCCAAGGAGAGGGCAAAGGTAGTCACAGAATAATCAGTCAGATGAACTAAGGCTGAGAAGCAGAAAACCAAACAGATATTTTGTGTAGAGAGTTCTAAGCTCAGTACCTTTAGAACAGGTCAAAATTATGAACAGGTTTAGAAGGGTTTAGAAAAATTCATAAATAAAAGTTTCTAAAAAACTCAAGGTGTCTACTTTTTAAAGTCCATGCCATAAAAGACAATCACACTCCCTTACTAAATACATCTTGGTGACAGACAGACACAGGCTACTAGACCAGATAAGACTTGTGTCTGATAAACACTTAGGTTCTTCTGATGGATGTGGTTATTTGTACGTGTGTGAGCATAAATGTGGTTTAACAAGAGTATTATCTACTTGTTTGATCAATCTTAGATTGTTTACATTATTGTGATTATGAGTTTTGTCTGAATTTTTCTACTAATTTGCCTCAGTCTTTTTGCCACTCAGTATCATTTAATCGTTTTTCACAAACCTAGGAGTTTCTAAAAAGAAGTGTACTGCCCATAAAGCAAGTGAACTCTGGGGCTGTTATTTCTAAATTTTAGGGTTACTTTTCCTAAGGTTCTGAGATATCTTATCTGGTCACATTTCTGCGGCAGCCCTTTCTTTTTCCCATCCAGAGGGCTACCTCCATGGATTGGTTATTCTATACCCCCAAGCTGTGGTTCTAGAGCATGAAGCTGGAGAAGCACAGACTTTGCTCTGTGCAAACTCCTAATGATATCACAGAGTCTTCCAGAATGCCAGGGAAAGCCTGAGGCTAGCCACAAATATTCAGCCTGTCTTGAACAAGCCTTCTCTCAAAACTATTGTCTTTGTGTTTCTGCTAATGATGTAACTTGTCTGAAACACCCACCTGTCCAAGGCATCATGGGAGTTACGTCGGTTGAGCACCACCCTACCATAATTTTCATCTCTGTAAAGAAAGAACAAAACAAAGTCACATGGAAAGTTACCACAGTATTTGGTAAGCACTACATAAGGGAGACTGGAAAGAGCTCACAATTTAGAGCAAGATTAATTCATCTTATTTCAGGCATAAGAACACAACAATACATTTATTTTTACCAGTCTCCCCTTGAAAGAGCATGGTGAAAAGAAACAGGTCAGTACAAATGATCATTATATCCCATGAGATTTCTATATGATTCAACAATGGAATGAGTGTTACTTTTTTTTCTATCAAGTGTGGGAACATGTATGTGGACATCTACTTTGTGTACATTATAAGAGTCCTTTTCTGCAGGAAGGTAAAAGCTTTCACAAACATGTCTTAAATATAACTAAGTCTTTTATATGTAGACATTTTCATCTGATGGACTTGATAGTTTTCCTTGACAAAAAGCAGGAAAATAAGTACCAATATTTATGGTTAAGAAGGTGGATCATTCGCAGGATATTTGGCCCATTTTTGAACCATGAGAGCTGTTTGGTCCTTAAAATAATCCTATGACTTAGGCAAAGAAGACCTTGTCATACCCAATTCACAGAAGAAGAAATTGATCAGAGATTTTGAAATGATCAGAGAAAAAAACCAGAGATTTCCTAAGACCAAAAGGTTAGTAAGTGACAGGCATGGATCTAGGACCCAGATCTTTTAATTTCAAACCTTTGCTTTTCCTCCTAGTTAACCCTTCATACATAACCCTTTCTACATACATAGACCTTCATACATAAAATCCCAAACAATGTCTTTCTTACTTTGTACAGCAGACCTGAAAGTACAGGCAACTAGGAAATGTCAAAACATGTAGTAGAGCTTTTGGCCTTGAACCAAGTACCTGAACCTGTTTCATGTCAACCCAACCAAACCTGAAATACCACATTGCTCCTGGTTCTGCTCCCCTAATGTTACTCAACACTCTGGAACTATTTATAATAAAGCTATACAAGAAACTGTGGTAGATAATTAAAAAGAAAGATGAACAGTGAAACTGAAACAATTCCAGCAAATTTACACCCTCAAAAATCCCAAGAGAACTTTTCCATCTCTCTTGGTATCCAGTTCCCTAAACTTGTGAGAGAGTAGCAGACACCAGATGCATTCTGACCTGAAGAAGAATCATAACACACAGCCCAGACCTGGGTCAGTAGGAGTGGGGGAAACATTGGAGCCCATTTTCCCTTCATTCAACAGCTGCCATGCCATCCAAACTGGCTTCCCTGGGCCTTTATAAAGGAGGCATGCCTGGCATAAAACCATCATTTCTACCAATTATAATTTGTCTTAGACATCTCTATCCTCACCCATCTGTGCAAATATTTGCAACACAGAATTTATGATTCACATTTGACATCACTCAACCACTATAGAAAAATAGAAGTGCCATATTAGGGCTCTGACAGAAGCAGTAAATGTGTGTTACTAAAGGAAATGATGATTGTCCAAGAATGTTAACTCCCAAAGTCAATGTGAGTCCCTAAATACCTCTATATTCCCTTAAAATAATAAGATTTAATAACAGAAATTAATAGACATCTTTATTTAACACTTATAAATATGTTCCTCAAATAACTATATATGGGCACTTTAGTAGTAAGTATCCTGCTTAGTTGAGAGTAAGTATCCTGTAATGTAGAGCTTCTCAACTTCAGCACTATGAGACTATGGGCTTGATAATTTTGTATCGTGGGGAGTGCCCTGTGCATTATAGGATGTTTAGCAGCATCCATGGCCTCTACCCACTAGATGTCAGGAGTACTCCCTAATTTTGATACCCGGGCATGTCTCCAGATCTTACCAAACATCCCCTGGGGATAAAACTGCCCCTGAATGAGAACCGTCGGTGTAATAGACAATGGGTCATGTTAAAATTTCAACTCCATCACTTAATAGCTGTGTGGATTGGACAAGTTACTTAACTTTTCTGAACCTCAGATCCCTCTTCTATAAAATAGAGGATGTAATACCTACCTTGTGTGATTTGTGAGATTTAAAGATGCCTTATATGTAAAGTATGTACCTGTACACAAGAGGGAATCAAAAAACATATGCATATTGGGGCACCTGGGTGGCTCAGTTGTTAAGCATCTGCCTTCGGCTCAGGTCATGACCCCAGGGTCCTGGGATTGAGCCCCGCATCGGGCTCCTGCTCAGCGGGAAGCCTGCTTCTCCCTCTCCCACTCCCCCCGCTTGTGTTCCCTCTCTCGCTGTCTCTCTCTCTGTCAAATAAATAAATAAAATCTTTTTAAAAATATGCATATGTATATATGTAATTTATCATAAATATATCTGGGCTAGACAAATGTCTATTATAAATCTATGTTGGCCATGAGGCAATATGCCTACAATTGTAGTTTTCAGATCTATAACATAGAGCTAGTAGAAGCAATGCTCAAAACAGACAAAACATTCTTGAGGGTAAATGTTTTCCCTTGCAAAGTAATACCACATTTAGCACCCACCCAATACTTAGAGATATATGACCACTGTGACTAAAATGAGGTGAGAATGTATTGATTTCACTTGCACATATAGAAATTTTAGATAAATTATTATTAAATTTGTAAATTAGGAATCATACTATTATTTGTTTATTTCAACTGACATGATGAACATGCATGAGGAGTCTCCCTACTGTGGATTAAATATTACCTTTTGGGAAACTGCTAAGTCATGTTCTTTTCAGTTTATCAAAAAGACACAAACGTCCATTCTAGTTGTAACAATGAAACTCTGCTTTTTCTCCCTAATGACTCTCATGCTCTTCATTACATGGATAATAAAAATGGTAGAAATATTCTTGAAAATCTTAAAGCCAATGAAAATCTTAAATCTTACCAAACATTAGGCCATGCAACAAAGTGTTTTAAGGAAAGCACCTGCTTTCCAGATGGCCACTAGCTTCCCAGCTAGAGAATAGCTCTTTCTACTTGTCCACCCACCCACCCTCTCCACACCCTCTTACTTTTCTTCTTTGGGACATTTCTTTATCCAGCTGTTGTCTTGTAAGAAAGTCCTTCTTTTGTTCACCTCATGAAAATCCTGTTGCCTCAATGTGGTCCCCTGAGTGGTACTCTTCATATCTATCAACAGAAAAAATGAAAAAGAACAAACAAACTGGGAGATGCAATCTCATGGGGTCAAGTGTGAGTTGTTAACCCGGGTGTCTTGAGAGGCACATCTGATTGCCAGCATCCATCTTGTAGGCTGACAAGTTCAGCACTGTTTCAAAATAGGATGCGCTGGTAAGAGAGAAAAATCCCATACTCCAGAGATAACATATAAAACTGCTCAGGTGCCAAGTGAAACTGCCGGGACAGCTCATGAGGTCCTGTATGGCACCCGGGAATACAGAACCACAGGCATGGGATAAACCAAGCCATGGTTTGGTGGTTGACCATTTTATTTAAAAAAAAATATATGCTTCAGAAGTACATACAAGAGAAAAAAAAAAAAAGAAGTACACACAAGACTGCTTTACAAATACCTAGTAAATGATAGTCAAGAAGTTCTGGTGCTTTTGATTATAAGTAACTGAATTCTTTAATCTCAGGGGAGTCAGAAGCACAGAATGTCCCACACACAAAAGAACATTTTTATTGATTTTTTAAAAAATCTTTGCATTGCAATTACATGAATAAAAGCTATAGCACTCCTACTTTTTCCTTAAGCCTAACGTTGGCAGTTGCTTCTAAGCATTCTATATCTATATAAAAGAATTAAGAGCTATGAGCTGTTTTTCTCAGATTTTTAAGTTTTCTGAGTAATGAAAATATTATCTACATTACCATTTCCTGTGGGAGACATTTTTCGCAAGGTAGAATTGGACATGCTGCCTTCCAGTAAGGATCTAAAAGAAAAATACGGAGGGGAAAAAACACAACAATGACTCTAAGAATTTACAAGTGATTCTTTCATTGGTAATGACATTTTTCTTTTTTTTAATTTAATTTTATTATGTTATGTTAGTCACCATACAATACATCATTAATTTTTGATGTAGTGATCCACAATTCATTGTTTTCATATAACACCCATGCTCCAGGTGCAGTATGTGCCCTCTTTAATACCCATCACCGGGCTAACCCATCCCCTCACTCCCTCCCCTCTAAAACCCTCAGTTTGTTTCTCAGAGTCCGTAGTCTCTCAAGGTTCATCTCTCCCTCTGATTCCCCCCCCCCTTCATTTTTCCCTTCCTTCTCCTAATATCCTCCATGCTATTCCTTATGTTCCACAAATAAGTGAAACCATATGATAATTGACATTTTTCAATGACATTAAGAAAGTCCCATGACCTGGTATCACAAATATATGACATCAAGTGCCCCCTAAGAACCTGAGAGTTCTATTCCAATGTATTTATTTTACAGATGTAGAAATTGAGGCCAAGAGCAGTGAATGTCCCCAGTGTTATCAAGCAATCGGCTGAATGAGGCCATCAATTAACTCATTTATTCAATCAATAAATAGGCATTGGGTGTGTATAGTGTGCTGGGCGCTAAGCCAGGAGCTGGAGACAAAAAGCTGAGTAAGAGAAATGTCTGGTCAGGTCAGTAGGGAGACAGAGACATGGAATTCACAGCACAATACGCAGAGTGCCTCTGGGGAAGCCAAAGTGAACTCAGGGCTGCATTATGACTTTGTGAGTCCTAGGCACTTTTGCTTTCATAGGCTTCTTCCTTCACATTCACACAGAGACACAGACACACACACACACACACACATACGCATGCACGCACATGCCCACACAGTTAAAAAGTATATTTACGGTTGTTAATATAAAGATGAAAAGTTATCCAGGCTGGCTTAATTAGCATACTTTAATTATTATTATAATATTCATATGTTTTCTTCCATTGTTAAAAGGTATTAAAATTAGAACCTTTTTGTAGGGCTCTAAAGGTATCATAGGCCCTAGGCACTGCTATTTCTGTTTAACGGTTAAGTTGGCCCTGGGTTTCCCTGAATGTGGGATTTTCAGTTTTAAAACTGAAAAAGTCCTGAGCAAATGGGGATGGCTGGTCCCCTAGATGGGGCATGAGGTTTTTTGCAGAATCCATCCAACGGTACAATGGATGAAATGAAGGAGGGACATTAGATCTCAAGTCAGAGGCAAGTCGTAGGCCCAGCCTTACCACATCAAAGTTCTGTAATTGAGGGGCGCCTGGGTGGCTCAGTAGGTTAAGCATCTGCCTTTGGCTCAGGGGCTCAAGTCATGATCCAGAGGTGGGCCTCCCTGCTCAGTGGGGAGTCTGCTTCTCCCTCTCTCCCAGCCCCTCCCCCATGCTTGTACACATGCACTCTCTCTCTCTCTCAAAAAAAAAAATAAATAAATAAAACCTTAAAAAAAAATTTCTGTAATTGAACCACATAATCTCCCTGTAAAATGGGCTAATGAAACCTGCCATCATAGGTTTGTGATGATTAAATGAATAATGTACACAAACATCAATCGTTAAACTATAAGTGCTATTCCAATTTAAGACCATACTATCAGGCAGCTGTTCATAGGTTTAACTCAGGAGTTCTAAAAGCCCCTGTCTCTCACCTTCTGATGCAAAAGTATCTCCTACAATAACTTGCCGTAGGACCTGAAGTGGTAAAGACACATTCCTTTGGATGACATCATCGTTTTCCTTGGGGCCTTCTTTTAGAATGTCCATACCCCAACCCTAGTGTAGGTGAGAAGTGGAATGTGCTGGTGCCCAGACCAGGTCCCCTCTACCTATCTCAGGGTTGGCACTATGGGCTCATGACTCCTGGTGGGGCTACCTGGTTACACACCCTCCCCACACACTACAACTTACAGCCAATGGTAGAATGACCCAGGGCAAAAATGACCGTTTGCCTCAAGGTAGAGCCAGTTCTGCAGGTGATTTATGCTTCAGAGGTCACTATGGGATCAGGCCGAAGCTAGACTAACAGAGAGCATATCCTTGCTCAGCCCTTCCCCCTGCCTCTACTCCCTGCTTCCCTTTCTCCTTCCTCCTGAGAGCCTACCCTCAGTAAGTCACAGGCACCCACATTCCTCTCAGGCACTGCTTCTAGGAACCCAACCTAAGACTAACCACCAGTGTAGTCAATCATGGCATTATCGTCACAGAGATCAACAGCTGTTCACATCACTAATAGCTGAGAGTCTGAATGTCTTAGTGAAGTTAGAAAGATCTGCTTTTAAAGGATGCTATTTACTGTTACCTTGAGTGTGTTGTAGTTCAGCTCCCTCATCTATCAAATGAGGTGAAACAGCTGTTTTGAAGATCAAATTAGATGACATTTGTAAAGTGTCTGATTATTGCCCGACACACTGAAAGTACTCAAATTTTTAAAATATTTTATTTATTTGAGACAGAACACGAGCGGGGTGGGGCAGAGGGAGAGGGAGAAGCACACACCCTGCTGAAAGGGAGCTCCCCCAATGTGGGGCTCCATCCCAGGACCCCAGGATCATGACCTGAGCTGAAGGCAGATGCTTAACCAACTGAGCCACCCAGGCGCCCCATGAAAGTGCTCAGCTTTTAGCCTCATGCCTCTATCATCTTGGAAATTAGAGAACAAAGACATAAGGCAGGTGTGGTTGTGTGTGGGGAGGGGATGGAACAGCCTTAAATTTGGGACACTGGGCATGCAGTGTGGGCAGCCTCTGGCTGGCTATGTTTGAAGGTCACTAAAATTTGGCAGAAAGGGGTGGAAAAAAGGCATGTGAAGACAAATTTCAATCTCAACTATTTGTTCATTTCCCCTCCGTCTGGCCCAGCTTATCTGGGCTCTTGGTTAACCTTCTCCTGTTTCTCAATGGGCTCTGATAAATTCTCTTCCTGAGTTGGTGAAGACCTGGAGAGTTCGTAGCTGATTGAACTGAGATTCTGCAGTGGGCAAAACGCTGAATGTATATTTGATGATTCATTTGCAAAGACTGAAAATTACATGTAAGACACAGGGCAAAGTAAATGGAGAAAGGCATTTTTATAATTGTCTATTTGTCTATCTCTCCCAAAAGACTGAGTGTCCCAGGGGCAAGACCTAAGTCTTTCCCTTCTATATTTCCCATGCCTAGAACAGAGTAGATGCTCCTTAGGTGCTTATTATGGGCTGAATATATCTTCCCCAAAGTTTATATGTCGAAGCCCAGTACCCAGTACCTAAAGATATTACTGTATTTGGAGACAGAGCCTTTAAAGAGATGATTAAGTTAGAATGAGGCCATTAGGTAAGTCCTCATCCAACCTGTTTCATGAACATATAAGAGGAGGAATTTTGGACACACAAAGAGACACCGGGGATATATGTGCACAGAGAAAAGGCCATTTGAGGACACAGAAAGTGACCATCTGCAAGACACAGAGAGAGGCCACAGGAGAAAGCGAACCTGACAGCACCCCAATCTTGGACTTCTAGCCTCCAGAATTGTGAAACAATACATTTCTGTTGTTTAAGTCAACTGGTCTGTGGTATTTTGTTATGGTAGCCCTAGCAAATAAATAGAGTACTTATGGGAAAAGTGATTTAAATATTCCTAAAATAGGTCATTCAAAGGGCTCTGTGTCACGCTGTCTCTGACTTGTGCCCTCTGTGTCTTCAACTGTCCTACTGCCCGGGGCCACAAGAGCACCTGCTCTGAATGGGGTGCCCCCCAGACATTGTCTCATCCTCGTCCTACACTCTGTGAGGTACCTATTATTACCTCCACCTCCCAGACAAGACACCTGAAGTTCAGGGAGAGGATGCAACACACCTAAGGTGGGAAGAGGCAGAAACTGCCTTCTAAACCCAAACCACCTCTTTCCATGGCAACCGGCAATAAAGCTCATCCTGAGTCATTGCAAGACTGGACCAGTACCCTGACATTACGGTGAGAGGAAAGGGAGACCCAGCGGTCCCCACCTGACTCCTGACATCTCAGGCTTTGGAAGTGCCATGAGCTCTGCCCCCAGTGCCTGGCAAGATGAGAACCCGGACAGCGTCTGCAGCAGACAAGCCCTCACAGAGCAGGCTTCTCTGTGTGCTCTCTGATATTCTCTTAGTTATGGACAGATGTCTACGCAAAAACTTGTACAGGGACGGTCATAGCAGCATTATTCAAAACAGCCAAAAAGTGGAAACAACACAAATATCCACGGATGGATGAATGGGCGCAGAGCATGTGGGATACAACATGAAAGTGCTACACTCACACATTTTACTCGGCAGTTTTTAAAAAATGACGTTTTGATACATACTACAACATGAATGAAGCTTGACGTATGTTAATGAGAGAAGTCAGACATAAAAGACCACATGTGTATGATTCTACATGGATGTTGTTTTTTAGATTTTCTTTGCTATTCTACCCACATCCCACCTCAATTCTCCTCCCAAGCAAGGCTTCTGCTGCCCCTTTAAGTTCTGCTGGGTAAGGAGGAGCATTCAGACAAGAATAATACTTTAGATGATCTTATAGTAATTTATAATTTATCTCATTTGGTTTCCACAAAAACATTTAAGAGTGATATAATTCCACGACAATATGGAAGGACCTAGAGGGTATTATGCTAAGTGAAATAAGTCAGAGAGAAAGACAAATACCATATGATTTCACTTACATGTGGAATCTAAAAAAACAAAACAAACAAACAAAACAGAAACAGACTCATAAACACAGAGAACAAACTGGTGGTTGCCAGAAGGGAGGGGGTGGAGGAATGGACAAAATAGGTGAAGGCGAATAAGAAGTACAAACTTCCAGTTATAAAATAAATAATAAGTCATTAAGATGAAAGGTACAGCATAGGAATTTTGTCCATAATATTGTAACAACATTGTATGATGACAGATGGTGATGGCACTTACCATAGCGAGCCCTAATACAAA